GAATTTCGCAACAGGAGTTTACTTGGTCGACGAGTAGCACCGGAATTTCTTACAGACTTTTCTGCTTACATTAAAAAGCCAAATTCGGCCTTTATAGACTATCCCGATCGTCATGCAGCAGCAACCGCATTCCAAAAGATCAGTTCGCTCGAGCCTGTCTACGGAAAGAAGATACGCGTAGAATATGCTTTGCCTTCTCAAGCGACGTTGGCTAGGGACAGATCTACCAAGGAGAAAGCAAGTGAAGAGGGAGGCGACGGAAAGAATGAAGCTGGAGAGAGTGTATCATGGAATCAGAATGATGCTGTCGAAACAACCGGCCAACAATCGCATCAACAACTTCAACAGGTGCAATCGCAACAAGTACCACCACCACAACCACCACCACAACCACAACCATTACCACAGCAACAACCACAGCAACAGCATACACAGTTATCGTCACATATGACAAATGTAATACCATCAATGACCACGTTTGATCCGTCATCCTCGTCTTCTTCATACGCGTCATACTCACATCCTCCACCGCCGCCGCCACCACCACCTCCTCCTCCACCTCCACCTGAGCCTATTGCGCCTTCATTGGGGTAATGTATGTGTAGTTATGGGAGTTGTGATTTGATAGCAAAGGATTGTGTGTAAGATTGAAGTAAGACTATCGAATAAGGAGTCGTCTCTTTCTCCGCCCTTCTCTCCTTATCCATATATCTAATTTGAAAATATCTTTTTCTTTGTTCCCTAGAATAAATTATCCTTCAAATCCCCACTTACACTATCGTTATCCTCCACCAACAGTAGAAATTCTCCAAAACATCACCTCTGCCATTGCTGCGGTTCCGCGACTCTACACGCAAGTATTGCATTTGATGAATAAAATGAATTTACCGCCGCCGTTTGGCCCCGTTTATGAAAACAGCGTTCCAGAATTGGTAAGAACGGAAATGGGATAAAGTGGGGGATGAGGGGGGATGACACAAAGTGTATGGAATTTTGCGTGTTTTTGCTTTTGCATCAAATGTATTTGAAATTTCTCTCACACTCGCATCCTGGCTTTCCTAATTAACGGCATGTATAGCTTCACGAACAAATACTGAAAAAGCGGAAAAAACGAAAACGCGACGAGCTACTCTCTAGTGACGAGTCAGAGATGTCAAGCGAAGGTGATGAAGGTGGAAGCGCTAATCAAGCTCCCAAACCAGTTGCGCCTGCGGTTAAGAAACTGCGAGATGGTAGAGGCGATGGCTTGTTTGGTTCGGCCGCGTGGAGGGATAGGATGAAAAAGGAGAAAGAAAAGGAGCGTCTTGGAAAAGGTGTTGGTAAATAGAGCGGTCTGTAGCAGAATCGTGGGGGTGATGGTCGGCGTATGCAATTGCGTACCTCGAGGGGAGTTTAATAGCTTGTTTTCAACACGTGACATTGGCTTGTCACTATAGAAACGAATACCCATATCGATATTGAATGCACGTTCTAGTGTTAATTGATTTTTTGAACTGGTACAATCACATCCCTTCGTATTTCATTATTCCAATAACTACAAACTCCCTTATGTGATCGGGCCTCCGAATCACAAACCCAATTTTCCGGCCGTTCAATTAGGTTTATTCGTTATAACATTCTTGCTGTTAGTTTTTCTTGGTAGAGGGAGTAAGCGTCTACTTCTTTGCTCTCACAGGTTTCAGCAATTGGGGATTCTTTTCCCCTTATTCAAAACTGAAGAGCATTTTTTTACACTTTTGGCTAACCGTGGTTTCTATGGGCTGCCGATTCCAAAGACCCAAAATAGTTAATTTGGCGCTTATGATCGATCACATTTGAATAAAGCATTAAGCTTATATTGTTTTCCTCAGACTTTTGATTGGACACATTGTAAATCTGCGGTTAAATGGATATCTCTCGTTTGCCGGGTAGTCTAACGTTTCTAGGTATACCATTACCTGCTAATTTCCTTATTGACCAATTTTAGCCATACTTTCCGCCCAAAAGCTTAACGTCCATGAATTGAGAGCCCAATTTGGTTATGACAAACATTGCGTTATTACTTACCGTTATTTCTTTCTTTTCCCATTATCAAAAATCAGGCCACTTTTTGTGTCCATTGACGATTGCATTAGCAGTGTACGAGTTACATATCTGGTATAATACTTTGTCCCTTACCATTATTCAATGACATCCATTCTCGACAACTTTTTTCGATAGACCAAGTCTGACCAACGTCCCAAAATATCCTTTTTCATTGACAGTATGAAATTAGTCAGTAACAACTTGCCGGTAGTGTAACTACGGGTATTCACAAGATGTTCTCCTAATGTTATTATTACTATTACGTATTATTGTAGGACCCGATAAGATTATAGATTTTCGCATTGTGTTGTAATTTCCTGTGTAGAGATTTCTGTGCCAGAGATATGTTCTTTGTCCTGAGAATTTTTTTTTTACCTCAGGCGATATTTTTTTTATCCATTCAAATGGCAGTTTACCTTTCGTTTGGGATTTTTACCCCATAGTTTAGCACCAATCAAGAATTGTGTAATGCGGGGGGATGGTGGATATGAATAACCGAGTCAAACCAAGTAAGAAACAGGTTTTTATGGATAATATTAGAATCGTTTGTGTATTGTTATGTTTAATGTTGTGATGTGATGCATAGCCCAATATAAGAGTTTTTCTTTTTTTTTTTTTCCTTTTTTTTTTTTTTTGCCTGCCCATGTTTAAATTATAATAGTCGATCATTTTCAACTTGCATATTGACGATCTTTGAAATCTGTTTGGTCACAAACAGGTAAATAACGCATTTGGGAAACGTCGATCATCACATGAAGATATCTGTGCAATAATGAAATATGGGGAAATGAACAGGGGGAAACGTCGATTGATGATGGGCACAGGCGTAATT